CCCCTCAAAGAATTTCCGGGTATGACGCATGCCTGATCAGTGGTCCAATTAGCTGTCCCCTCCGACACTACTGATGTAAAGTGGGGAAAGATTAGAAACCCTGTCAGGCTTTTACTGCTATCCAGGAGTGCTGAGGTTGCCTATACCTGGTTAGGCACTTCAGCCTTGCAGCACCGGGTCCCCGGTTTGAATTCCAGTCAGGACACTATATGCATGGAGATTATATGTCCCTCCTGTGCGAGTTTCCTCTGGGTACTCCAAAATCCTCCCACACTCCAAAGATACCCTGGTAGGTTAAACTGGCTCTAATATGTGTGTGAGATAGTGACTAGGGATGCACTGATACCGATACTAGTACTGGTGCCGATGCCAAGTAATTGGGCAAGTACTCATACTTATGTTGTTTCTATGAATTTTTCTAATAAATTTAACTTTTTTGCATACTAGCTGCTTGTCCGGATCCCTCAGTTGACCGCTATTGACTCGTTACCTTTTAACGGGTTAACCCCCCTCTTGTTTTCTTTGCATGATTGTTTGGTCACGGATCGGTCTAAATAAGCAAATATGCAAACCTGAATTAGGGCGTATAATTAGTCGGATCTCCAGGTAGGAACACCAATCTCTTTTTTCTTAAAGTACTCATACTTGCCCTAAAGCTCAGAAGCCTAGCTCGATACTTCCGGTATCAGGAACCCAGGCAGTGCGCCATTACACGCTGGCCGGCTTCCTGATTGGCCCGGGAAGCCGGCTCCATGCTCTCTTGTCACTTGTGACAAGGGGGCATGGGGCCGGCTTCCCGGCCAATCAGGTAGCCGGGCAGCGTGTAATGACGCGCTGCCAGGCTTCCCGATTGGTCTGAAGCTAGCCAATCAGGAAGCCAGGCCCTGTGTAATGACGCGGCGCCCGGCTTTCTGATTGGTCAAGAAGCCAGCTTCTTGCTCCCTCGTCACCTCATGATGAGGGAGCATGGAGCCGGCTTCCCAGCCAATCAGGAAGCCAGGCGCTGCGTCATTACACATCGCCCGGCTTCCTGATTGGCCAGAAAGCCGGCTCCATGCATTCTCATCACCTAGTGACGAGAAGCATGGGGACGGCTTCTCTGCTAATCGGGGTGGCGAGTCTTCACACGCTGCCCGGCTTGTCAGGAAGCAAGGTGGCGAGTCATTACATGCCGCCTGGCTTCCTGAATGGGACTTCTGGTACTCTGTATTCGGTATCGGCAAGTACCGTAAAAAATATATATATTGGTACTCGATATCAAAATACCGGTATCGGTGGATCGCTTAGATTGTAAGCTACGTAAGGGCAGAGACTAAGATGAATGTACAGTATGGAATATACTAAGTTGTCGGCGCCATATAAATCCCGGTAACCTGTCTGCTGAGGCCGATGTCCAGAGGACAGGAATTGAGGGTAAATCTCTCTAACATAGCACCAGATAGCAGGAGTCCTAATCCTTCCCCAATCTATCCAAAATTAAAGAAAAACAAATTGGCGGGACATGCACATGAAAATGAAATCTGGAACGATCCTTGGCAACAGTACAAATGGATACTAGATAATTTTTTGCGGTTTTTGACAGTGACATCAATTGTCAGCATGTTCCTTTCATGTACAGACCTATGATCTGTAACCTGCCACCCAGGCTAGAGGATTTAGAATTCGAAAGAGACTTTAAAGAGTTCCATGTTTGGGTCGGATATCAGAAGCATAACAAAAATGACAGGCGATACGAGATTATGGTAATGAAGCAGGAAAAAGGCAGGAATTGGAGTGAAATAATGGTATTGTATATCCGGGACAGGCCCGCTGGGTAGAACATAAGCAGCATAATCCTAGGGTGTGACTAAACTCGTCATTACTGAACTTTCCCACACAGGATGCTAATCTGATAATGTGATTGTAATTTGCATCACTTTCATCCCCGGCGCTGCAGGATTCCCTTGGTCACTTACCTCTTCTCTTCGGTTTATTTCCCCTTCATTAAAGGATGAAGTCAAATCATCGCTTTAAATTGAAGCTATGGCTGTTACTATATATAGAAACATGTTTCCCAATATAGATCCTCTGCCTGTAAATTCTTCATATGCGTTAACAGCTACAATTCCTTATTGAAGTGAATGAAGGACTACAATGACAGGACTTAGAACTATAAACTGCTTTATGAGAATATGCTAGTAAAAGCAGCCAAGTCAGACCTCCAGCTACCGGGTCCAAGTAGTGAACAGTGTCTGCTGGGAGGATAAAACACGGCCTGACTCTATGCAGGCCCAAAGCCGTAAGAGGCCACTAATATCTGATCTGAAGTCTGTCTACATATGAAAATGTCATGGTGCTGACAGATGGGGCTTTAACCCTTTTGCTGCCATGTATCCTGGGGCTCACCCGTCCCTTCTGGGAGTCCAGGGGTGCCAGTAGGCAGGGCAGATGGAGACCCATCCACGTCCGTTCACTGATCTCTCTTAGCTAGAATGAAACTGGACGAGATACGTTCTGACATTCAGGGTTCAGAACGGTCATTCACTCATGATCTGCACTCCATTGAAGCTAATGGACCACAAAGGTGACCTTAAGGGTCTAACAAAGAATATGGATACCGGCACTCCAATGGTAAATAAAATACCTCTATTTATTGACGTACATGCAACAAGAGCATAACACACTCAGTGCAACGTTTCGGGGTCGCCTAGGATCCCCTTCATCAGGCAGAACAAGTTAGATGTATAGAATAAATAGATGTATTCCATTTACCATTGGAGTGCCGGTATCCATATTCTTCGTATCACTGGGACGGTGGCCATCCGCCGATTACCGCTGCACCCACTTTATTTTGATGGAGCAGCGGTCAGGAGTGCGATGGGTACATGGATTATATATTAGGGGCCTACCAGACCCCTGATGTTTTAGTAAAGAGAACCTGTTATTGCACTCTTATATAAATAAATATACGCTTATCCTTTAAACCGGGGGTGAGCAAACTCCGGCCATCAGCTGCTGTGGCACTATCAATCCCATGAGGAACTACAAAATTCTCACAGCCACGACTCCCAGAGACAGATGCATCATGGGATTTGTATGATTTCACCACAACTGGTGGGCCAGAGCTTGCTCACCCCTGCTTAAACTTATGAGGATCTGTCATGAGCAGTTGCAATGTTAAAGGGAGCCAGTCCAAAAAGGAGCTGATGCTGCCGACTTGTTTTCCCAAGGTGAAATCTCTGAAGCTGTGTTCTAGTGGGTCACCGACATGAAAATGATATGCAGGACACATTCCAAACATCAATGGCTGCTTCATGTCTTTTTCCTTTTATTAGTGCAGTTATCACAGACTGCCAACAGTGTATTCTTATGATTCTTCCATGGAACACTCAACTTTGTTAAATCAGCGACACCTAAAAGGGAACATTTTCAAGGCCTGTGTTAGTGAACATTTGCTTACGTCAGAACTGCTTCTCTCCCCATACAGGTCTCAAGGAATGCAAAAGCAGTTTGAAGCACATACAATGCAGATTACAATTTTGAATGTTCCCAGAAGTGTCTTGAACCAACGTCAAAAGCATGCTGCATCTGCCCATCGACACAAGGCAATATTTACTTTGAGAAAGGTTCTTGAGAAGTAATGCATTTGGTAGTAACACTTCTCTGGTAAGACCTGACCGTGTTTTCTTTCTGCAACACTGGCAGGTAAAACTGTGGTAATACAGGATAAAAGCATTTTAAAGTAATAAAGGAATAGTCCACCTTATGTAAAAGGTAAATAAATATAGCAACACTGATCTTATGATAAATGTTCCTTTACTACTTGCACTGAGACCTGCAAGGCACTGAATCAATGATCAAAGCATCGAGAATGCAATGCACAGGCTCTGTCAATATTTACCTCCAGCCGAAGGTCTGTATGGAGGTGTGGACCTGACTAGAGGAAGTGCTGCTGAACTACAGAGCCGTGAGAAAGGAAGGATGCCTTCCCACTTTTCACATGTCCCACCTGCAGTGATGGCACAGAGGACTTGCAGCAATGTTTTCAAACATTGGATGACGCCACCAAATAAAAAAATAAAAAGAAGAAACGTTCAATAAAATGCACCCCGAAATTCAGTTAAGGGAGAAGGGGGGAGGGGGGGAGGTATTCGGAGATGGTGATTATACCAGGTTTAGACTGTAAATATGGGCGTGACATGAACTATGGGCAGCACGGTGGCTTAGTGGTTAGCACTTTGCCTTACAGCACTGGGGTCCCCAGTTTGTATCCCAGTCAGGACACTATCTGCAAGGAGTTTCTCCCTGTGATTGCATGGGTTTTCTACGGGGACTTCGACAATTGACCCTGAATTTATTCATGAGAGATAGGGACCTTGTGGGCAGGGGCTGATGTGAATGTACAGTATGTAAAGCACTGAGTAGATTGTCGGCGCTATACTTTAGAAATATCAATGATAAAGCCTATGCATTTAAATATGATCATTAAAGCTGGCCACACATTTTATAATCAGCTTGTACAAGCTCCTTTAAAGTGCAACAGCTATAAAAAGACAAGGGACAGACTGACTGAATATAGATTGAACAGAGCTTTGAGGCCCTCGTACTGCCACAGGTAACCAATGTGCCTAAATAATTATGGCTGGACCCTAGAGTTTTTTTTAAACCATGCCTACTGTTAATAGAAAAATGTGCTCCCTGTCACCTCGAGAGCTCCTTTTGGCTCCCAGACTCGACTGACTGGCTCCTGATTTCAACACAAATCTGTCCAGCCCAGCTTTAGGGAACACGGATACTTACTGGAATGTGAGGTAGTGGCACACGTCCATTTGCTTTGGCACTTTCTTGCATTTCCCTGCGATGGTGCTTTCGTAATCGATATGGTGGAACCCCATCTCTACAGGGGACAGAAGCGAAAGGGTAGGGAAGAAATACAAGGTCACCAACTATATATCTTTTCATTCACAGATTCAGAGCCAATTTAACAGTAGAATTCTCTGACCATTACAAGACCGAACAGGCTGCTACAAGTGATCTGGGCGGCTTGTCCGCAGCAGGGTTAAATGTAGAAAAAACAAACCACCTGCCCAGTGCACGGAACTTCATGTCCCAGTCGTCAGGAAATTGTGTCAGAATCCCCAACCGGAATTAGCAACTGATTGGCTGCAACCAATCCATTTGGCCTAGAATTTTCCACCGGCTCCTTTGATCAGCTGGTTGAAGGATGACGGGCAGAAGGGAACCGATAGACCCGTGTATACCCTACTTCAGTGACACACTCATGTGGAGGCTTGCTGCCCTCTGCAACTAGAAGAAGCTACTAAGCGGTTCTATGACCTCAATTTTTACCAACTTTTTTTGTTTTATTTTAGAAAAGCTCAACATTTTCTTATCATGCCGGGCGTTATGTGCACAAATTTCAAAGCCGAACATTTGGGTTTACATCTGCTTTAAAGATACCCAGTCACCAAATCATTTATTGCAATAACAATCTTGCCAATAAGATTGTATGATAATTTCATGTGTTTTGGGCATGTTGTTTACCTTGTAAAAGCCTCTCATTTGAGGACAACCAAAATTCCTAAGACTGGGTGCCACCATTTTGGATGTGACGTCAGCAGCCCATCAGATTCAGAGCTATCACTCAAGTAAAACTATAGAATGCTTCTTTCCCCTTCTCCCACATCAGCTACAAAAAGTGTTTATATAGGGTAGGAGAGGAAAAGGGGTGGAGGAGCTGGGCCAGCACAGATTAAACACTTCCAGTAGAGAAGAGTGCATGTGAATAAAAAGCAAAAAATAAAGGAAAAATACTGCAAGCAAGCATTGATAATACCGGATTTTTCTGCACTTTTGGCTGCATTTCTTTAAAGTTGGTGACAGGGTCTCTTTAAGCATGCAAATATCCAAGAAGCTGCAGAACTCCAGCATTTACTGTCAGGTTCAATTAAATGTTTCATCAGTACTCAGTACAATGACCTTGTAGGTTACTCAACATTATAATTTTGAATTAGGATTGCCTTCACTTACACACTGCTGTCAGTTAGGGACATGGTATCCGCATCACTCGACATACTCTGTTGCTCGCTGTCATTCGCGCTGGTGGCTGGTGCCCCCGCATACCCAGTGTTGACATAGTAAGGGTTAACTGGCTCTCTCCATGATCCCGGCCTATTAGAAAGAGAAAAAAAAACACAATCATATTACATTTATAGAGTAAAAGTAAGGATGCTCAGATACCAAGTACCGTACATGTACAAACACTTTTTCAGCTCCAAAACTAGACTAGAGAAAAAAATCAAAGTTAGGAGGCAGCTGTCCTTTGTAAGGAGCACACGGAGCTCTAGGATTCGTACATACTGTTTTAACGTATGATTTTTTTTCGGGATGCACCAATACCATTTTTTCCAGTACAAGTACCTATACTTGTCCAAGTCCTCACAGATGCAAGTACTGATACATTTTTGTTTATTTTTCATGTGACAGTTTTTCTAAAACAATACAGACTAATGATGTCAGGACAGTGCTGGAGCGCCAGAGCCGGGTCGCAGCTACAACCCTGGTAGTTCACGTGAACATCCCCAGTATCGGCACTGGTATCTGAACATCCCCAGTATCGGCACTGGTATCTGAACATCCCCAGTATCGGCACTGGTATCTGAACATCCCCAGTATCGGCACTGGTATCTGAACCAGTGCCGATACTGGGGATACCAGTGCCCCTGTATCGGCACTGGTATCTGAACATCCCCAGTAAAGAGGATATGACAAGAATTCTGTATATGCACGTATCAAGCAGTGTAGATATTTTGTTGTGGTGGAGATTTCCCATGCACATGATTCAGTCATTACCAAACATTCGGGTGAAAAAAAAAAAAAGCTTCTTCATTGAAGGGATTATTAATCTTTGCACGGAAGTAGCGGGTGAAGAAGCTCAGTCTTCTTCCCCTCTTTATAGGGAAGATTCACACTATCTGTCCTGGTGACTAAAAGCGTCACTGGAACAGGAAGTCCAGGGAAAATCCTCCAATGGAGACACATGTTATGGTGACAACTGTCTCTGGACCTGTGTCGATGGGCTTTGGGCTTGATGTAGATTTAAATTCAATTGGAGAGGATTTGAACATCCCCAGTATCGGCACTGGTATCTGAACATCCCCAGTATCGGCACTGGTATCTGAACATCCCCAGTATCGGCACTGGTATCTGAACATCCCCAGTATCGGCACTGGTATCTGAACCAGTGCCGATACTGGGGATACCAATGCCCCTGTATCGGCACTGGTATCTGAACATCCCCAGTATCGGCACTGGTATCTGAACATCCCCAGTATCGGCACTGGTATCTGAACATCCCCAGTATCGGCACTGGTATCTGAACCAGTGCCGATACTGGGGATACCAGTGCCCCTGTATCGGCACTGGTATCTGAACATCCCCAGTAAAGAGGATATGACAAGAATTCTGTATATGCACGTATCAAGCAGTGTAGAGATTTTGTTGGGGTGGAGATTTCCCATGCACATGATTCAGTCATTACCAAACATTCGGGTGAAAAAAAAAAAAAGCTTCTTCATTGAAGGGATTATTAATCTTTGCACGGAAGTAGCGGGTGAAGAAGCTCAGTCTTCTTCCCCTCTTTATAGGGAAGATTCACACTATCTGTCCTGGTGACTAAAAGCGTCACTGGAACAGGAAGTCCAGGGAAAATCCTCCAATGGAGACACATGTTATGGTGACAACTGTCTCTGGACCTGTGTCGATGGGCTTTGGGCTTGATGTAGATTTAAATTCAATTGGAGAGGATTATGTGAGGATTCAGAGATTCATATACACATGCATAAGAGCTGTAGTTGTATGGGAAAGCTAAACCCCTATGACTAGAACAAAGGCCCTAAAAGAAATTCTCTGTTATTTTAGAAGATCTTCTCCCACTCAAGTTAAAAACATGAAATGAAGGAAAATCTCCCCAAATGAACACAGACAGTAAAATGTTTAGGCTTTAGATGTACATTAGCAGTTAACACACTTGCAGAGCCCACTGTGAGGGTCATTTTCACTTTGCCCAGGGGTTTTAAGTTGCCAACCCCTGCCCTGATATAGAAGTTCTAGGAATTGTAATTTCAGTCAAAAATATTAGTTTTCCTGTTCCTTTTAGATACAGTTGCCAGCAAGTACAGTTCTTGTTAGAAAGCATATGTTTTGCTACAGTTTGGGGCAAACACCCACGTATACACGCACTTTGTCATTTTAAGTATTCTGAAAATGGAAAAACCACAAGAGACTATTTTAGAAAAACCTAACAACTTCTGGAAAGAGGTCTGTTGTCTTCTCACAGCAAACTGACATCTTAACCTCCCTGGCGGTATGATCTTTTCTTTTTTTTTTCTTCCTTTTTTCGTTCTATTTGTTTTCGTTTTTTTCCCCCTAACTTTTGAATCTCCCGCCGGTTCCGCCCCCCTGCGACGCGGACGCTCCCCGGAAGACGGATGCCGGACGACACACCGCGGCTCGATAGACAAGGAAAGAGACGCGCTGTGTATTCCCGAGTGTGGCTCGAGGTTACCGCTTATGGTACAGAAAATTAACCCCCAGCCACACTCGGGAATACTGCCAAGGAGGTTAATGTCAATACAAGTAATCACCCAGAGGAACTTAAATTAAACGGATCCAACCCATTAAAGTTTCCCTTAAAAGAGGAACAGAACTTTGGAAGCTGTGCCCCAAAAATTATGCCCAGTACTGCGCAGTAAGTGTGTGTGTGTGGGTTGGGGGCAATCTTGGTACAGGCAGGGCTCTGCTTCCTCATGCCAAAGCCTTCAGCAAGGAGAACACTGAGCTGCAAAGTGATAACATCACCATATCTCACGCCAAATCCCTTAAGACACTAAAAGTCCAAGGCAGCAGTGCCCTAAATCTCACACGGCAAATATACAGCTATGACAAGGCTCGACATATCCCAGGAGCCAGTAGCCAATGCTCCTTATAAATTACAGCTAAACATTTGGTTTTCTCTAGTTGTTGTCAATAGAGCTGGCTCCTGGATTGGACAGACGGGCTCCTGAATTCCATATTACATTTGTCTACCCCTCAGCTATGAGGCAGTAGGCACAGAAGAAATATACAATATGCAACCCTCACAAAAGGAAGATATTTCAAGCGACTGACAAGGTACAATTAACATTTCGAACTGTTCCTTATAACATAGCAAATCTTGACTTTTTGCGGTCAGGTCCACTTTAAGATGCACAGGGTGTTTCCTGGATATCACTGGTTTTTACTGACTGGCTAAATTTGCACTTTACAGAATCATTAAAAGCCGAGCGCTTACAGTTAACCGACGACTGTCAAATAGTTTAGTAGTTTCCATGTAAAAGAATACGCAGCAGGCTTTTTTTTAATCTGCATTGTATTTCTAATTTGCTGTTTGTTCCATATCTGTGGAAATTTCCATCTCTTATACATCGCCATTAGGAAGCTCCCCATAACAATGAGGCCTTTGATCATACAGCAACACAAATCTTTTGGATGTCATTGATTAAGGCGGACGATTCCAGCGAGTGGAAACCAAATAAAGATCTTTAAAAATAAAGATCTGTTTTCAAGCACAGCGCTGCCCTTCTAGTGGTGTTCCGTGCTTTGTAAACAGCACTGCAGGAATCAACCCCACAACCTCTAGTGGTCACTTCTGTGTAAAGAGCAACATCTGGAGCAAACACCGCTGTTATCTGTGGGCCGGATATTTTAAAAAAAGAAAGTGGCTTATGACGCAAATGAACAAGGGGGAAAAAAAAATCAGGACGACTAAAAACTGTCATAAATAAGCCAAAATGTACAGCTATACACAGGGAAATAATCTGGGGAAAAAGACAACAAATATTTGTATAGTTAGAGTGTATTTAAAGCCA